TTGGTAATTCACTCTCAGGAGAGGTTTGCCCACCCTGCTCAGGGTCAATGATGCCTTTTTTCCTCCTCCAGAGCAATGCTCAGGGTCTCACAGTGCTTGTGTTACCGGATTGCACGCTACCTGTTCAGGCTGCTCCGCAGAGAGGAGGCTCGCTGGGAAGTCTCTGCCATGGCATTCTTTGTTGAGGTGAGCCTGATGGCAAGTGCTGCCTTGCTGAGCTGCCTCCCTCCATTCTGCCCTGTTTGACACACAGCTGTGGAGGGAATTGCAGTTTGTGGAGCTGGGGCAGAGGGTGGGCTCTGCTGTGTGCCCTTGGGCTCCTGCTGCTGGAGTGACAGGTATGACTGCTCTCACTGCTCTGTATATTTCAGCTCCTGCCTTGCCTTAACTTAGATAAATGGGATGAACGCATCCTGCAGCTTGTCCCAATCTACCTCAGGAGAGATTGCAGAGAGATGCGTCTCCTGCTGCTCAGATGCCTCTTGGTGCTCTGCAAGAGACCCTCTATGGTAAGAAGCAGACAGCTGGCTGAAGCTGTGTGGCCATGTGGGGCTGGGTAACACAGTAGTTTGGACTTGTCTGGGCTTCAGGAGCTGTGTCACCTGCTGCCAGAATTCCTGACTCCCCATTCAGCCACCAGAGTCCTTCAGAACAGGCCTCGGGCTTCTTGGTTCTGAGGCAGTAGCGTGGGATTGAACTGCTGGAGTGGTTTTGGCAATGCAGCCTTTGATGGCTTCAGAACATTGCATTATGCTCCATGCAGGCCAACTCAATCGTGGCCCTGACTGAAACCTTCACAGAGGTACTGAAGGATAAAGATGGAGAGGTGACGGGCATGACCCTTTCTGTGCTCAGCAAGGTGCTCCGGGACGCAGACCTGTCAGTTGTCAGTTCCATTGCTGTGCAGCTGGCTGAGGCACTCCTGCCACTGTTTGAGAACGTAAGGCTCTGTGCCTCCTGCCAGGGGCACTGGGTGCTGCCAGGAAACTTTATACCTGAGGAATTTCAGGCCCATGCTCAGGTGGGCCTGGAGAAGCTGGTGCTGAAGTCTTGCCCTCTTCATTTACACTAGGACACTAGCCATGTGCAGCTCCTGTCCATTCGCCTCTTTCAAGTGCTAATGGAGTTGGTAGCAGAAGAGGAAGAAAAGCTCCTGGAGAAGAATGTGCACCAGAGCCTATTACCACTCTTTTATCACATGTATGATGAGAACCAGTGTGTGGCTCAGGTGAGGATTCTGACCTCCTGGTGTCCCCTGTGAAGGGGGCTCAACTACCTCCTGCCCTAACACCTTGCAGACTGCAGCGCTCGTGCCTCCTCCTGGCCTTGGCTACAGGGATGCAGGTCCTGGGCCCTGGGCTGCTGTGCCATCTCCCAGTCTCTCTGACTCTGCAGGCCTCTTGGGAAACCCTGCTTCAAGCAACAAAGTTCCTGAAGAAGTGGAATCTTGAGGAGCTGCTGGAGACAGAGGAGATGTGGAGGTTCGGCGAGTGCCTGGTAAGGATGGCCCTGAAGCCCCAGACCCAGCCTGAACAAGCTCTTTGCTCCCGATACTCAATGTGTGAGGGTGACAGCTGTGGCCCCTGCCCACTCCTGCACACATCACCACCAGCCTGCACCCCATGCACTACTCTCCTTGGGTGTGTGGCCCAGCAAGCTCTTCTCCAGGCTCTTCTCCCTCCCGAGCCAAGATGCTGACAGAGTCCTGACCCAGCTGTGCTTTGGCATCAGAGTGATACTGGGGCTCCCTGGGGAGCACTCAGCCCTCTGCTCCCTCCAAACCTTGGCACCAGCCAGCTGCTGGCTGGGTGTCATGGTTGTCCAAGCAGAGAATGTCAGTCCTGGGTGCAGAAGCTGCTCAGCCAAGGGAAAGAATCAGTGCCAACCCTTCCCTGTGTCCCCTTCTGCTCTCTCTAGCTGGCAGAGGACAGAAGCAGAGCAGACGAGTACCTGCGCCAGTCTGTGTCATACCTGCATAGTCCACAGAAGTCCATGCGAGAGGCAGCCATCAGGCTCACTGGTGAGCCACAACCCCCAGAGTCCCTCGCCGCCCCACTGCAGCTTGGCCTCAGCTCTTGCTGCTGCACTGGCAGCAGGACCCAGCTTAGTGGCTGTGGTACCCTGACTACGTCTCAGGACTCTCTGCCACTCTCTCCTACCCTTGCCCTTGTGCTTTATATGTGGCTCAGTCCTGCCAAGGGGAGGAGTATGTGCGGCCAGGCTGGCAGCACTGGTGTCGGGGAGCTGTGCTGCTGGGGCCATGACAGGCTGTGTGTTCCTAGGGCACATCAGGTGGCACATGAGGGGGCAGGAAGAATTGCTCCAGGTCACCTGTGAGGGTGAATGAGGGCAGCAGGCTGTCAGCAGGGACTGGCATAAAAGAAGGAAGGATCCTGGACAGGGAGCTGCAGGCCCTACTCCAGCTGGAGAGGGTTCTGCTCCCTGCCCAGACAAAGAGCAGTGTGGTCAGAGCAGAGAGAGACTTCAGGGGCTTGTGTGGTATTCATGGCAAGAAGTTTAGGGCTTACCCTCTTAGTTCCTGCTCCCTTCTGACCATGGGAAGGGCTGGGTGAGGTGGCCCTGGCAAGAGGGGTTCCTGAGGTCCCCAAACCTTGGCTCTGTTCCTCTCTGTTTCAGCACGTCAAGGCACGACAAATAACTTTAGCACCTCCATCTCAAACCTCGCAACTCAAACCCTGCACTTTCTAAGAGCTGTAGAGAGACATCCTTCCTTCAGATTCAGGCTGCCACAAAACCAGCTCCGCATGGCGTGGAGGAGGCGGCCCTCTCTCTTGGACAATGGCTGGCCTTCTATCTGCTACAGTGGTCGCCCACACTGCTGGAGGTCTCTGCAGAGCTAATCCTGGGAGCTCTGTCTGCTAGGGCCACCTGAGTGTGCAGGAAATACTAGGTGGCTTCTGGCCTCTCCCGACCCACAGGACAACTCTTCTCTAAGACCATTTTTCTTTGTCTTTTAAGGAAAGTTCTTTTATGCAAATATCATCACTAGTTCAGGACCTTTTATCTCAGGCTCCTGCCACCCAGAGCCCAATTTACAGCTTGCACTGCAGCTGCACACTGACCTATCTGCACTGAATGTACTCCTCAACAGTCCTAACTTTGTTTTAATTGAGCATACCAGCTAATACATTGAAAGGGACAAAAGGAAAGTTTCAAGGCACTTAACCACTGCCCTAACATACAACATTATAACAAGTAACAAACTTAACACAATTAAGGGCAGAAGTGATCATCAATATAAAATCACACAGGATTCTCAAAAGTCTGTTACTCATCATTCACTACTTGTTAACGTACTGGGACAAGTATTCATCTCCATCTAACAAGCTGGTCTTAACTGGGCTATAAGTTCACACACAGAACATGTTGAGTTGGAAGGGACCTACAAGGTCCTTAAGTTCAACTCTTAAATGAATGACCCATATGGGGATCGAACCTGCAAACTTGGTGTTATTAGCGCCATCTTCAAACCAACTGATCTCTTAATGACATATTCAGTTGATTGATTATATTTGCTGTAAAATGAGCACCCCTGTCTGGTTCAATTGACTTGGTGCCCCTGCTGCAACTGGATCTGGTTGCGAGAGATCTCTCATCAGGTCCGAATCTCTACAGTACCTCTCCACTAGCTATTTTCTGGCTCCTAGTTCTCAGTTGCCTCAGTCAGAGACTTAGCCATTTCTCCTGACTGGGAATCCCATAGCTCCAAGAAAACCAGACGTGGGAGTTTAATTATGGCCTCTATTTTTTCTGGATCTATCACTCATTGCCCCTTCCCCAAAATACAGGCAAATATTTATCTTTCCTTTTGACACAGCGGAAGTTTGGATGGAGATGCATGCTGTTCCCTTTTTGCTAGTGCAATACATCTAGTATACAAGCATTCTCATCGCAATTTGCTAATGAGAAATCCCCTACATGAACCGATTGTACAAGAGCTGATACCGAAATAAATGTATACGTAGAAAAATATGCTTTTATAATTTTTTTTTAAATATACACAGAATTACCACCATTACAAGCACGTAGTAGTCCACAAGAATCTCATATATATACAAAAAATAAAGCAGTGTTTCAGCTGACATATGTCTTCTAGAGAACCTCCTCCAGGCATGGTATTTCCAATTTACACCAAAACAATCAATTCAAATAGTTACAAATAGCACATGGTGTGCCTCTAAATGCAGATCTTCCTGGTTCACTCTTTTTGAAGAGATTCCATGTGCACACAGCATCAACCCAGAGTGAACAATTCTTTCAGTGGGTGTTTGTGCTTTCTAGGGACATGATCCATCTGTTCACCAATTGCCTATTAGTTGCAAAGGAAACTTAGAGTGTCTTGAAGGAATCACCACACACTATCACACATGATATAGCGCATCTATATCTTTCTGAATGTTTAAGCAACTCTCCTATCAATCTTTTCTTGCTATCCTGAGGTTCAGTTAATCCCTCAAATCATCCCCCAGTGTTTGCAATGCAATGCTGAGAGATGGGCTGTTCACCTTGGAGATCTGCTGTGGATACGGGTACAGCCTGGTGCAGAATTTCCCCCTCCCCTGGATGGCCATGGGCTGGTGAGAGCCTACTGCGCACCAGTGGAGTTCTCCCCAGAGCTTGTGATGGTTTCTCTGGGATGGGTTACATCAGCAGACTAGGTGCCACGCACCACCCATCTCTGCCACTCCAGATTTGGGGATCTGAACCAATCTCCCCACTCCAATCAGTGAAGACCATCAGAGATCATGAACCATCCATTCGGAACAGCGCTTTCCTGGTGCTTAGGACTGACTGACCCATGTTCAACAGCAGACTCTAAACTTCAAGTCCCCTTGCACGCCTTATGAGCCCCTGCATGCCTTATGAGCGACTCCAAGCTCCCTGCATGTTTTACAGGGGACCCCAGTCCTCTGCATGCCTTACGAGCTACCTCAGTCCCTTGTGCAACTTGGGAGAGACCCTAAAAACTCCTTTTTATGTGTGCTTTTCACCGATCAGGCTGCTCACCCATACTTGACCCACTACAGTAATTTCACCAACTACGTAAAAAATGCTGCAGAAACAGAGAGACTAAAATAATCTGAGAAATTTAATAGTAATAATTTGAGACTCTTATGATTTATATTGAATATGCTCTGGGAATTTTAACACTCATCCTTTGAATCCTCCCTGCTCCAAAGGTCCCAGGTGAACTCACACAGTTTGGCTGTTCCCTTTTTGCTAGTTTGGATGTTTGGAGAAGGGCTCTGACAGTGGTGGGCCAGGGTCCCATTTGGATTGCCAAATTCTTAAGGAAACTTCCCTGTCCGACCACACCGCGACCCATTGTAAATTCTCATGGGGCTGAACAAAGATACCAGTCCATGTGTCAGGGAACTCCTATCCTTTTATTATACAATTACCTTAATTCTGGCAACTAGACCACTCTATAATCGTAGAAGTGTTGGTTAACAAAGCTCTCAACTTTTACAACTAACTTCAACAAGCTCCTAGTCCTCACCACAGACTTTGGTACAGAGCAAGGGGTAGAATATGATAGCTGCGCCTTGTCAGGACGAAACAAGAGAGGAAGAAATAAAGACCGAATGGGGAGAAAGAGAAGGAAAATCTTGATGACTATGTGATTCTGTAAAACATTCAAAACAACAACGCTGAGGACTGCAATGATGTTACCCTACATAAACCGTCATTCAATTAAATCGCATAATTCGTGACCTGACAGGTATCAGTGGTACTTCTTTACTTACGGCCGACTGCGATACTATTGTTTAGCACCACTCCAACGATACACACTATTATCAGGCTAATGGGGTTAAAAAAAGCAAACACGGCCACTTCCTTCATTTATCAGGCGGCTCCGCCCTTCGCAGACACCACCGCCGGGTCTCGGCACCGCCCGCTGCCAGCGCAGGGGGCGGCTCCGCCCTCCCCTCCCTGCCGGGCGCTGAGCAGCGCGTCACGGCCCCGCGCCGCCCGGGCCCGCTGCTGCGCCGGCGGCGCTGCGCTCACGGGGGGTGCGCGGAGCCCCCTGCTAAATGAAGG